GAAGAGAAGAGAGAGAGGAGAAAGAGAAAGAGAAGGGGAGAGAGAGAGAAGAGAAAAGAGAGGAGAGAGAAAGAGGGGAGAGAGAGAGAGAGAAGAGAGAAGAGAAAGAGAAAGAGAAAGAGAGGAGAAAGAGGAGAAAGAGAAAGAGAGAGAAAGAAGAGAGAGGAGAAAGAGAGGACAGAAAAAGGAGAGAGAGAGAAGAGAAAGAGAAGAGAGAAGGAGGAAAGAGAAAGAGAGAGAGAGAAGAGAGAGAGAGAAAGAGAAAAGAGAAAAGGAGAGAAGAAGAGAGAGGAGAGATGATTTGCTATCAAGCTGAAGGTTATAAGCCCTTTGATTTCAGAGGAATAAGGACCATGTAGCTCTCTTGTTTTACTTCACTGCGCCTTCTACAGATGTACCTAAAGGCAGCTGTTGTCAAAGTGGATGGAGAGTTGGGCCTGAAGCTAGGAAAACCTAAGTTCAAATTCAGCTCCAGACACTAACTAGCTGTGTGACTCTGGGCAAGTCATTTAACCACTGTCTGCCTCGGTTTCCTCAAATATAAAATGAAGACAATAATAGCACCTACTTGCCAGATTAATTGTGAGGATCAAGTGAAATAATATTTTTAAAGCACTTGGCACAATATCTGACCCACAGTAGGCACTTAATAAATGTTTGTTTCCTTCCTTTTTTTTTTTTTTTGGCTAGGCAATAGGGTTAAGTGACTTGCCCAAGGTCACACAGCTAGTAAGTGTCAAGTGTCTGAGGCCGGATTTGAACTCAGGTCCTCCCGACTGCAGGCAGTTGCTCTGTCTACTGGGCCACCCAGTTGCTCCGCTTCCTTTCTTTTTGAAAGAAACCAAAGGACTGGGGGCCAGCTCTGTAGTCCCATTCCATGGGAGCTAAGGGGAACAAGAAGGAAGAAAGAGAGAAGGTATGAGATACCTGGCTGAATTGTGACATCCTTGCCCTCCTACAGCTCAGTGTTTGAACGAGCTGCTGACTGCTCCTCTGATTTAATCGGTCTGCCCTATACGGTCCATTTAGATAAGCCTCTTTTACCAACACAGCTGCTATTTAAAAGCCGAAAAAAGCATTTGTGTGTTTATGTGTTTGACAGGGATTATGAGAGCAAAACATTTATGTTTAAAGGGGGTGCTAGATATAGGTCAGAAAAATGCCAAGAAGCAATGGCATATAGAAAATGTTTTATAGCATTGAGGGTGAAGTGGGGGTGGGAATATTCAGAGCTCATGTTAAATAAGTATACCCACTTATTATGGAATATATATGTATATATGTATATGTGTAATATATGATTATATATGGGTGTGTGTATGTGTGTATATACATATACATATGTATACATATACATATATATATACATACACATGCATATATACACATACATACATACATATACACACACATACACACATATGTATATATACATATACATACATATATACATATACATGTATACATACATATATATATATATATAACCAAAGTCTAGGATATTAAGATAAATTTTTCTAAGGAAACAATGCTAGACAAGACCAAGAACTAGGCCCATCCTTTGTAAAAAAATGTGTGTGTGTGAAAGAATTTTAAGCTATATTGAAGGCAGCTGCTAAAAACATCAGTTTAGCATTATTTACCATGCTTTGCAAAACCTTTCAAATTCATAATGATTCTTTCAACATGTACTATATTCATTTTGAGTGAGAGAGACAGTAAAATATATATTTATAACCCACTCAAGCAAAATACTCTTAGTGAATAGTGTTTGTGCCCAAACCCCACTGTGAAGTTGAGAATCCTTTGTGTCCTGAGAGTTTAGTATAAAGAGAACATAAGAAAAAAGGAAAAATAAGAAAGCAATAAAAAATGCTAATATTTTTATTGGTCTATTTCAATTTTCTCCAGAAATACTAAAAAGCTTAATAAAATTCACTCAACCACTTAACATTTAGTGCTCCATCTGAATCATTTTCAAGTCCTTGTGGATTAGCATCTGTTTACTTAAAATACTTTATTAGTATTATTAGCATTTCTGGTTTTTTTTTTCTTTTTGCAAAGCATAGCAAGAACTGTGATGGGAAAAAAAGTCCACATGCCAGGAGGAAGAAACCTTTGAAATCATAGCATTGCACTCAGCAAAAGCTTAGAGAGGATGGAACTCTGCTTAGGATGGAGCTTTACCTCATTTTTAAGGGGAACTGCTCTCTCTCCACTGTATGAAGAGCAGATATAAGAAAGAGGGGAGTTTAATGACTTCTCAGCATTTTCTGAAGCATAGCTTCATATAAAAAGACCTCATCATCTGTTCTGAGGCACTATGAAATATTCCTAGCACATAACAAATATCATATACAAATGTAAGGATTCCAAACTATTCTAAAACCAAATATAGATGAAAGGCCTTGGAGAGAGCCATGTCATTATTCCCCTAAATTCCTTTTTAAAAAAATCATTCCTTGGAATATGCATAGTTTGATATTGAAGACAGAATTTAAAAAATACTGTTGGAAACGAAACACTTTAACCCACAGATTAACAGAACAATGCCATTTTTTATCTTTTATATAAAGAAAACTGCAAAAAAGAAAATTTTTATGTTTTATACAAACTTGGATTTGGAAAGCTGAGCTTCATTTTTTTTTTTAACCTGTACATCTGGGATACTACCGCCTGTTGTGTTTACTCTTACCTGCTGTAATGGTTAAATGACATCATACATATGAAGAGCTTTGCAAAATTCAATATAAGTCTAAATAAATGCCAACTATTATTCTTATTATCTTTTCAAATTGAAAAGAATATACAATTAAATATAAACTATCTCAAGGATATACAATTTCAATATTTTGAACCTGGAATTGGTTTCTTATCACATCTCATTTATAATGCACACTAACAGAAATTTACCAAATGGAGAAAAATATGTTCAGTAATTAAAAAGATTAAGGGTACAGACTAGAAGGTGGGGAATCTGCAGCCCTGAGGCTATGTGTGGCCTTCTAGGTCCTCAAGTGTGACCCTTTGACTGAATCCAAACTTCATTGAACAAATTTGTTCTATGATTTAGTCAAAGGTCTGCACTTGAGGACCTAGAGGGTCACATGTGGCCTCCAGGCCACAGGTTCCCCATCCCGTGGCACCACACCTTTGCTTTTATTGGAGTAGGGAAATTCCAGGGGAGGAAACCCCCCCTTTACTGGGGTGAAGCTGGTACCTCTTCTGCAACTTAGAGCCTTAGAGAGATGTTTAGAGCACTGAAAGTTAAATGACTTGCTCAAAGTCACAAAACCATTATGTGTCAAAGGTGGAACTTGAACTCAGGTCTTTATGGCTTCAAGGTGAGTTATGGTTCAAAAAGATAATGTAAGAGGTAAAAAAAAGCAAATTTTGAGAAATAGTAGGAATTTTTTCTATAGATAAAGTCTGATTCTTCCTCTTAACTATATGTCATATGGGGCTCCATAAGAATCATGCTTGATCTCAAGACTTTGCTCACCCGTTTCACAGTAGGGATCACCATCTTCCAAGTGGAAAACATTGTTTCGAATGGGCTTATTGCAGGCCACACACACAAAACAGGAAACATGCCAAGTCTGTTTCAAAGCATTGATGACTTCCTGTTCCAGAAAGTGAAAAAAAAATTCAATTTGACAATTTGACAGAAGATGGTAATATAATTGATATGTAAGAGATTGTTCTCATAGTATTATTGCTCTTTTAATATTCAGATTGGGCCAGCATAGGATGTGATGTTGAACAATGATTGTGCCATTCCCCTGGGTGCAAACACATTGGTGGAGTAAGAAAGAGGTCTAATCAGGGCTGGGAGGTGGTCAAAGAGAGAAGAACAGCCACAGTCTCTACCCCAGCAAGAAGGGTCATGAGCGCAGAGCTCACTCTCGGTTTGTTTTGTGTGCGTGCCACTCCCCAATATGTACTGTTCCATTCTTGGCACATGAAGGGAGCCTCATACTTCCTTCTCCACACAAGGACAAGCCTGGGAACCTTCTATGACTGATGAAAGGATGCATGCATTTTTCACACATACAAACAAACCAAACACTCCAAACAGTTCCTCTTTTATTTGAATACATCCCATGCTATGACTCTTTTTTCTGAAACTACATATTTCACAAATATCCTTACCTGCACCGTTTTATTTCAAGCAGTGCCTTGAAACTCTTTAGGAAAAGGTTAGGACACTATCCCTAAACATCACACCCAGGAAAAGGATATCAGCACCACAAACTTAGGTTTTATTTCTATATATTATGGGGGAATAATATAGAGAAGTGTCTCACCTCTGAGACACTTTCTCTGTAACCCCAGACAGGTTATTTAACCTCTCAGGGCCTGGGGAAACACTCTAAAATTGCAGGAAAGATGCTGACCTGCGTGGTAGAAGGAATTTCCTCATCCAGTAGTCCCTAGACCAGAGTTTCTTAAACTTTTTTCACTCATGACCTCTCAGCAGTGTTTGTTGGCATTGCGTGACCTGGGAGCATGCGCAGTGCAAAGTGTGCATGCTTTGTGTTCAGAATCAAGGCTTCAGGGAAGTTGCCCGATTCAACACAGGCAAGAGTTGCCAGAAACATCTCAGATTCATTACGCATTTGATTTTTAATTAATTTTTGGTCATTGAGCATTCCCAAACCTTTTACTATTGCCAAATTTTCCACGACCCCATGTGGGGTAGCGACCCACAGTTTAAGAAGTGCTGCCCTTGGAGCAGCTAGGTGGCGCATTGGATAGAGCACCGGCCCTGAAGTCAAGAGGACCTGAGTTCAAATCCAGCCCCAGACCAAACACTTGACACTTACTAGCTGTGTGACCCTGGGTAAGTCACTTAACCCCAATCGCCTAAAAGTAAAAAAAAAAAAAATGAAGTGCTGCCCTAGACCGGTAAATTTATAGACTCAATCCTTAATCCTGAGAAGGACATAATGTAATCAGTAACTAGTTTGTTTTACAAATATTTAAGATTAAAAAATTCTGTTTTGATTGTGCTAGTTTTATGACACAAATGATTAACTCTTCCTAAAATGGTACTAGGAAATATGGATTTGAGCCAATAAGGAACCTTGGGCTCAGGACATGAAGGCCTGGTAGGTGAATCAAATCAGAAGCAGGATATCTGGTTGGATTGTGTTGCTAGGGATCATCTTTAATACCCCATGAACAACGGAAGCAGTGCTCCAAGGTCCCTTTCTTTTGGTCCAACCCTAATGACTCAGATTCACAGAGAATCAGTGTAGAAAAAAATCAGAAGCGGCAAGATTTGCAAGTACAAATATTTATTAAAACTCAAGGCATCAGCCCTCAACTCTGACACTACTGGACACCAGGGAAACTTTAGAGATTATAAATTGCAGAACTGCTAATCTACATTGGTAGAAGAAGTTGGTCATAAGAAGCTCCTTACACTAACGAAATCACAGGTGTAGACCAGAAAAAAAAAAAAGTACTTCCATGAAAAAAGGCAGTATATTTTTTTTATCTACATTTATTTGTTAGGAAATGAAAAAAAGGATCAATTCTGATCAGTTCTGTTGATTTTTTAAACTTTTTCTTTTTTTTTATCTTTAAAAATGGGATGGCTCTCTGGGAATGGAGCAGGGGAGAGACACTGGGGGAAACTATGGTAATAACAAAAACAAAAGACATCAACATTTATTCGAAAGAAAAGAAAATGACAAAGAATAGTTAGCTAATAAAAGTTAACTACACGGTATAATTTTCAGCACAGCAGATATAGCAGTCAGAAAATGTGGGTTTGAAAATTGCCTCTAACCCTTAACCATTGTGATCATGGTAAGGTCACCTAACTCCTCTGACTCTTAGTTTCTTTCCTAATAATTTGGGGATAACAATAAGTGCACTCAAATGCTTTGTAACATTTGAAAGTACTATATAAATAGATCTCATCATTATTAATATGGCTTAGTTATAAACATAAAGCAATTTGGAGGCAATGAGCAACAAAGCAGTGATTCAGATCTAAAAAGAATGCTGTCAGAAATCTACAACAAAGAGACAATTGCATTTGCTTTTATGCCTGGTAGAGCAAATTGGGATAATAAATCACAGGATTAATCACAGATTTAGATCTTTCAGATGATGTAATCGAAGAAACTTACCCAAGGTAACAAAAAGCAGTAATTAGAAGAGATTGGATTAGAATCCAAGGCCTCTTAACCTCAAACATTACCTCCTTTTCACTCTATCAGTCTACCTCCCTAGAATGTCCTAAGTCTCCAGGGAAATATTTTCACATCTGTCTTTGCCCCACATCACCACAATAGGCGAGTAAAGCTTCTAAGCTGGGTTGTAATGGCTTGGGCTATATCTTCATAGAGAGGTCTAATGCCATTTCTAAAGTGGCAGATAGTAATTTTCTTTTGTCAGAAACCAATTTAGTAGATATGATTTAGTTGACTACTTCATTAGGTTTCACAAAACACTAAGTAACCACTGGTCTACTTCCCAGTTAGTGAGACAAGACCATATTTTTAAAAGAGTACGATAATTCGGCAAAGGCACAGGAATTCGATTTCTAGGAAGTGTGCTGGAGAAATTCCCATGATACTAAGTTGGTTTCCAGAACAAACAGGCCACTGAGGTTTCTTTCTCTTCCAAAAAGACATATATTCCTCCATAGGCAACAAGGCAAATGCCCAGACTCTGACCTCAAAATCCAGTTTTAAAAACTCCAGAGAAGAAAATAATAACACCTATTTTCTGTAAACCTTGATGAATTCATCTGTCCTCAATTTACTCTTTCAGCAAAACGTGTGGTTTTAGCTTTTTCTGTCAAAAGTCTGTTTCCATTACCTACTCAGTCTCATAAAATTGAAGGTATATTTTAAAATATTATTATGTATGTATAAGAAAAATACATCATTTATATACTTCATATTTTTTGAATGTTTCATGAGGTCCTATGGTTGAACCCTAGCAGGTAGAAAAAAAATCCTGGTCTTAAAAGAAGGCTGGAATTTAATTAAAACAGTAAAGGTGTCAATGTTGAGAACTATTATGTGTGTGGTCTTTTCTGACTAGACTCAACCCAGGTTGCCTCTCTCTTCTTAAGCAAGCAGCATACCGGGAAGGCAGCCCACACACGTCCCTGAGAATCCACAGTAAATTATTTTTGCTTGGTGGCCTAGCTTCTACCAGCCAAACAGGAAAACAGCAAGATGAAACCACAGGCTGCCTTACCTATCCTCCTGAGTCTCATGAGGCTATATCTGGGGGGCAGGAGGGTTAGGTGTTGGGGGATGGGCTCTTCTGCTCAGTTCTGCCCCGCCCCCCCCACCAGCCACAAGAGCATAAAACAAGAAGGAAAGGACAAGAACATCTCCAAATAGAAATATATTCTTGGAATAAACAAAAACACGTGCTCTAAAAAGCTTTCCCAAACTTACTCCCAGGATCTTCCTTTGGCAGCGAACACATTCAGGGGCAAAGAATTTCTCATAGCACAGCTCACAGTACAGGGCTCCCTTCTCCTCCACAAATCCAATGTAAGCCATGGTGTTTTTGCAGTGGGCACAGTTAAACTCTTCTGGATGCCAGGATTTTCCCAACGCCACTAGGAAAGGTCCTCTGTCAAAAGAAATAATTCTGATTTTCCTCAGAAACATAACATCCGTTAGCACATACTTGGAGGGTTTATAGCAATGTACTTGAGTCTTTAAATTTCAGATTGGATCTCTGTGCAGCGCTTTCCTCGGAACCTCAGAGTTCCTGAAAATTCCATGATTATTTTATAGATGAAGAAACAAAAAGGGGAAGTGAAATGCCTAGGGGCACACAGCTAATAAGCACAAAAGTGAGGATTCAAAGTCAGCAGCACTTATGTGAAGTCCAGGCAGATTACACCATGCAAAGCTAATTGATGTCCACCATATGGAAGCTCTCTGTTGGTTTATATGGGGAAAAGAATGGAGGAAGGGACAGTTAAGGCATTGCTCTGCAAAAGGCCAATGCTGAGTGTTTTATTTCCTCTTGCACAGAGAGTACATATATTTTTATACACTTCAGTGATAGAAAAAGACAACCCAGCTAAAAATGATGATGTTGAGGACCAAGCGTGATAAGAACCAAAATTACTTGATACAGAAAAGTAACAAAGCTGTCATTTCTTCTTGTATATTTTTTCAGTCAATAAATATTTACTAAGTGCCTACTATGTGCTAGGTACTGGGTCAAGCAGTGGGGATACAAAAAAGAGGCGAAAGACAGTCTCTGTCCCCAAGGAGCTCACCATTGTACATATCTGTATTTTTTAATCTATGCCTAGCACAAGACATACTAATTAAACAATGCCTGCTACTTTCAATAATAATTATAATAATAACAGCTAATATTTTTATAGCTCTTACTATGTGCCAGGCACTACAATTGTTGTCTCTTTTGATCCTTACAACAACCCTGAGAGGTAGGTGCTATTCTTATCCCCATTTTACAGATGAGGAAACTGAGGCAAAAAGGGATTAGGTGACTTGCCCAAGGTCATGGAATAAGCGTGACGTAGTCAATGTCATAGTGTGGAATGATGAGTGCAAGAACTAAGTTCAAGTCCTGGCATATGATCCTATGCAACTCACTTTACCTCTCTGAGGCAGACTGGTTTTCCCCCTTCCTCAATTTTTTTCTCAAAACACTTATTTCTCAGCTCTATTAAACACAATCATCCTATCCCAAAATGAACATTCAACCTAAAGGACACACAGTACATTAACTACTCTGATATATTATGGCTTATTCCAACTCACCATGAAAGGGGGCTTAATTTAATTTAAAAAGAAATATCCTTCGCTGCACATTTGTTTCAAATGAACAAACGTTTAAAGGAGGTTTTATTCCATTAGGCATGATACAGTCACAAACTGATAAGATGGGTTTAGTCTGCTTAACAAGAATCCATTAGATAACCATATCTTGGCATCAGGACCACAGGGATGGATGAACCACTGTAGGCCTCTATATAATGTACTTTTCCTGCAGCTATAACATAATGCCTTGCACTGATGGAGGCCCTTTATCTCCAAGGTACTTTTAAATTTGTTATGTAATTTGCCCATACAACATTCCTGTGAGATAGACCAGGGCAGTTATTATGAGCCTGATTTTACAGGCAAGGAGACCAAACAGACAGGTCAAATGATCTGCCCCTTATCAAAGTCATCAGTGGCTGAGCCAGAACCAGAACCTGGGGACCCTGATACTTAGCCCCTTATTGTATCCAGTTCATTATACTGCCTTTGAACTTCATGCCAACCATCAGCATTGACTTAATGACCATGGTAGAGGGGGAGAGTTGGACAGGTTATACAGTTATCCCTGTATATCTCAGGGGTTAGGGGCATGGTGCTCCTGTGATCTCAAAAAATCTGTGTAAAATTTTGTGGTCCTCCTTTCATACCAGAGAAGAAGTATGAATTATTATGGTATTAAAATACAATGTTGATATTATACAATTCGTGCATATATTTTATGCATTTCTCACTTTCTAAACTTTTTTTCTGTATCGTCTGCTGTCCTCTGCAAAGCTCCCCAAAATTCCCATTTCTTATGCCGACCTGCAATATATCAAAACCTTGATGGGGAAAGTCATGATGTGGAAAGGTTATTTAAACACTAGACACTTGACTTCTAGGCAGATGACTTAGTGGCCTAGACAGAGAAATCAGTATTAAGATTTCATGACATTTTTCTTCTTTGGGATTCAGAAATTAACATTACTTCCTTTCTTTCTTTAAAAACAGTCAAGCTTGTTCTAATAAAACTTGTCTTTGGCTGGGGGAAAAACAAAAAACAAAAAAAACCCACAACAGCCAAGCTTTCCTGACCCTGCTCTCCAAACCAACATCCTAGAGAAACTGAAATGGCATAATATTTAAATGTAAAACTTAGAAAACATATATGATTGAAATCTCATAAAAGTGGGGTGAAGAAAATCATCTTAAAGGGGCAAGTGTAGAAATCCTCACTTCGACTGAAGTTGCTGCCGACTTAGAAAGTTAAACTAAATAAAATTCCACTTTATTAGAATCTGTCTCTAGGGCAGTCCAACTGTTTCCTTTCATTCTGATTAGTGGGAAAAGATTTTTAGAGGGAGTAGAACAAAACAGTTTTGTGAAAAGCACTACTGAACCTTTAAGAAATAATTCTCAAATGCCCTTACCTGCTCCTGACTTCAGATTCCTGTAGTCCTGGCTGCAGTGACCACAGTGATCTGCCTGGCCCTTTCAGTTATATATAGATTTACTAATCCAGACCTTTCCATAGAACAAAGTGCTCTCTTCTCCACTGTGTCAGCACTGACTAATTTACGTCCTCATTAACACAGTACTGACACTGAAGAGGTTCGTGTAATTCCAGATAGGATTAAATTTCCCTTTGCTTGCACAAGAATAATAGATTTGGATATCTACAAAGTATAAGAAGGGATTCAGCTACCTCCAACAATGAATGTTGTGCACCCTATGAGTTCTCAATTAAATACTTGTTGATTGACAAATTCAGGGAGGGGAAGAAGTGGCAAATCTGGTTCATTGCACTTGTAAGTATGGCTGAAACCATAAAACAAAACTTTTACAATGACACCCCCCCCATCCTCTAATTATTTTATGATAAAAAGGGCAGGCACACCAGGGAAAGAATACAGTAAAATAGCAAAGGCTCCTAAGAATGAAGGCAGAAAAATGAAAGAAGGAAATGGGATACAGAGGCAAGGGTGTGTACTTTTAAAAAAAATCAATCACCCCTGATTCATGGAAGAGGAAACATAATCCAGGGCTTCATAAGCGAAACACCTTTTATTCTGAAGGAGTAAGAAACATAGGATGTTTTCCTCATCCCCTTTTAAAATTAAAAAACAAAACAGAGCTCTATACAATTAATACAACAAATAATAAAAATTATATCTTCCAGTTCAATTTACTGGTTCATATCCAACACTGTCCTCCCATTTCCATACACAGGAAGGTGGGATGTCGTGAAAGGTGGTAGGCCCCTAAGCCTTCTGACCCCCATATTAACTTCAGCTGGCCTAGAGGCACATACCAAAAATGAGGCCATTCTTTTCCCTTTTGGTATGAAAATATCATGATTTCCAAAACTGTCATTTGTGATTTCCAAAAGACAGAGATGTTATTCCATAGAGGAATATCATTTCCCAAACAGGAAATTTAAAGTTTTTGTCCTTTGAAAATAAGAGTGAATTTCAGAAATACCTACATTTCCAAACTTGGGGTAGGAAGCAAAATACTTTTCATAAACAGTACAGGAAAATTTTGTTAATATTTCAGTCTAGAGTGTTACATTTAAAAAAAATTTCAGGCAAAGATTTATACTGAAAAGGGCTCCTTTCTTAACTCTGACTCTTAGAATTCCTAGTTTATTTACCTCAAAACTACATAAGCATCATCTTCTGTAAGCTTTTTCCTGATTCTCCCCAGTACTGAGCACCTTTGCCATTACCTTGCATTTACTTGGTGTATATATTCTGTGTACTTACATACATTTATATATGTGTACTTATGTGTATATGTATACTTCTATATCCCCAGCATGACACATAGTGCCTGACACATGTTTGTTTCGTTGTTTCGGTTGTGTTGAACTCTTCCTGACCTAATTTTTTGGAGTTTTCTTGGTAGAAATACTAAAGCGGTTTGCCATTTCCTTCTCCAGTCCATTTTACAGATGAGAAACTGAGGCAAACAGGGTTAAGTAACTTGCCCAGTAAGTATCTGAGGTCAGATTTGAACTCAGGGAGATGAATCTTCCTGATCCCAAGCCCAGTACTCTACCCACTATGCCACCCAGGTGCCCTTAGCAAGGGCTAAATGAATGCTTGTTTATTCATTTGATCCAGAAACAGAAGGGGAAAGAGAAGAATGTGAGGCATGCACAGAACAAAGAGATAAAGATGCAGAAAGAAACTGAGATCAAGGGGAGGAGAGAATGTGGGGGCGGAGAGGGCAGTGAGATACATAAGCACAATACATAGGCAAAAAGAGACAATAAAAGTAGACACAGAAAGGTATCTTTTTTTGAAATTAAAAAAAAAACACATCGACTATGGAAAGTATTTTACTTCCTACCCAAAGTTTGGAATGGTGGGGACTGTGAAAATTAATTTAATTTCCAGTTTGGGAAGGTGAAGCAAGTTACAAAGAAAGATATATTTTCATGGAATCACATTTCTGCCTTTTAGGAAATTACAAATGACGACTTAGGAAATTTTTGCATTTTCACAACAAAAAAAAATTTGATGGTCTCATCTTTTCGCATTTACCTCCAAGGTGAGTGAAATTAATATAGGAAGCAAAGGATCCTGGGACTAAAGGCCTTTTACTACGCCCAGAGTTCCTTCTCCTGCACCAGACTCCCTAATATGCTTCTGTATTCCTTTGTTGATTAAGGCAATGCCTAGAAAACGCCAGAATTAGTCAAATGATTTATTTTAAAGCACTTTTGTGAAATTAATCAGCCACATGGGTTTCTTAGTACTCAGACCAAATAGATGACTGAATTGGTATATTTTTTCACTTTTGCTCTGGTGTCCCCTAGATACACGGTAAGCTTCATGGGAACAGAGGTCAGGTTAAAAAAAAAAACAAAACAACCAAAAGGCATAGTATATGGAAGAAAAAATTAAAGTTCATTGATGTTCCATAGAACTAGAAAGAAGTGAAGTTGGAATATTGCTGGTAACTGTAATTTAAATGAAGTTAAACTGTATAGCCAAGGAAATAATTTTTCATTTGGACCCCACTCCCCAGATGTAAGCAAAATGTATTTCAGTATATAATAATTTGATTTACTAGATTTTCCCTCCTACAGCCACAATCTCTGTCCTCTTTTAATCTGTCTTCCAAATAGCTGCCACATTTATATTGTTTATATTCTTAAATTCTGACCACGTTGTTTCTCTGCTCAAAACTCTGCAGGCGCTCTCTATTGTCTGTAGGGGCACTTTCAGGCCTCCCCAACCTGGTTTCTATCTTTCAGTATAACTTGTTCCCTTCAAGTTTCAACTTGGGTGACATTCCTACATGACACTTTGTTTAATAGCCCTTTGAAATAACTTTATTACTTATTTACTGCAAACATATTGTATTCCCTACCCACACGTCCCCACAGTAGAATATAAGCTCATAGAGGACAGAGTTTATTTCAGTTTTGTCTTTGTATTCCTGAAACCTATCACAATGCCTAACTAATATTTGTTGAACTGAAGCTAACAGTAAATCTAGGCACTCATTTGGGATAGGAAGGGATGCCCCTACTGTTACAATAAGACTTTTAAAAGTCTCAGTAGGGTTCTCCTCTAAAACATTCCAATAATGCAAAAAAACCCAAAAAACAAAAACAAACAAAAACAAATTAAAAAAAAAAACAGCTATGAGGTAAGTAAATTCTATGCAGTACAACTCAGGAGAAACTTTTTCAATATGGCAAAAAAAAAAAAGAACCATTTAACAGAATATCACATGTAAAAAAGTAAATAATGGAGGTTGGGTTTGGGGAACCTACGTGTATTTTAAGGAGGCAATCAGTTTAGCACCAAAACTTAGGTGGTTGAATTTCTAAAGTTCTCAAAAACATTATTTTTATAGATTCATCAGAAAAATAAATTTTGCTTTGCTGCCTGATGTCAGTAAATTTTGCATCGTTTTGAAATCATCAAGTACTAGTGATGTATTGTAGTACTGAATGATGTAATGAAGTATTAATTAAATAACAGTATGAATTAAAGCATCATTATGCAGCAACAATTTCCAAAGTTTGCCAGCCCCCAGTATCGTAGGCCATAGCTGTGACTGTAGAGAAGGTGCATGTGAGAATGTCACTTGAGCCAACTTGTAAGACTTTTGTCCAAGAAATGCTGACTCAAGGGGCTGTGTACCATAATTATGTTCTTATGAACTCTGAACCTACCCTAATCTTCCTAAAGTGCTGTAAGGTCTGAGAGGACCAGGTGAATGTGGTCTATTAATTAGTGTTATGTGATCCTGACAAGAGCTAATCCTCCTTTCTAAAACCTCCTGAGTGCATGAAGCTTTGATGCTCAACTGAAAGCAAAATCATGGCTAATTCAAAACAAAAAATGTAATAGATGATGTGTGGGCAATAAAAGAGGCCAGGCATATCCTAGCTATCAGTGATTTACTAATTATGCATGCATGAAAATTACTTTATGGACTAGTCTTAAATTTTAAAGCCAATGTGAAACAATTTCGATGACTTTTCTTACTTTTTCACTATATTAGCTTCACGGAAGTACTGGCTATCTAATATAATACAATATATATTTCAAAACAACAAACTAATTTTACTTGTTGTTGAAAGAACTAGTTAGTACACACACAATACCACTGACAACTTGATACCGTTTCCTCCTTAACAGGTGTTTCTTCTCTAGGTTTTTTGTTGTAAATAGTATTTTATTTTTTTCCAATTATAAGTAAGGATAGTTTTCAACATTCATTTTTATACGATTTTGAGTTCCAAATTTTTCTCTCCCTCCTTTCCCAAGACAGCAAGTGATCTGATATAGGTTATATATGTGCAATCGTGGAAATAAATTTCCATATTAGTCATGTTGTAAAAGAAGAAATGGAACAAAAGGGAAAAGCCACAAAAACAAAAAAAAAGTGAAAATAATATGCTTCAATCAGCATTCAGACTTTATAGTTCTTGTTCTCCAGGTCTTTTGTAAGTGAGCACTAAAACCTAAGTAAGCCTCACTAACACAAAAATGTCTCAAGTATTAAAAGCGCCCCTGAAAAAAATGATTTTATTCCACTGAAAACACAAAATGATGGCAACATGTATAAGGAAAAAGGCTGAAAACCCCTTCTTAGATTGTGGTGTCATTTACTGAGAGAAATCAGTGCTCCAAAAGTTTTTTAGCACCCTACTTTAAAACTAAAGTAGCAAATGAGCCAACAAAAACCAAACCTAAAGTAGTTACAAAATGTGAAAGCTGTTAATTCTTCTTCAGAGTATAAAATGCCTCTCCTCCACCAGGAGTGGGGAACCTATGGCCTTCTAGGTCCTTGGGTGCCACCTTTTGACTGAGTCCAAGTTTTACAGGACAAATCCTTTTATTAAGGGGATCTGTTCTGTGAAGTTAAGATTCAGTCAAAGGGCTGCACTTGAGGACCTAGAGGGCCACATGTGGACTCAAGGCCACAGATTCCCCAATGCTTCCCTAGACTGTCCCTTGTCCCCTACCCCAGCTACCATTCTGGTGTCATCCTGGACCTCCTGAGCAGCTCTGGGCCCAAGCACATATTGTTTTTCTCCATGTTAGGGCAAAACCAGAGCAGTGTTTGGGATGAGGCATAAAGGATCAAGAACTTTAACTTTATGCTCTATGCTATTATATCCTTATTTTGTTCCAAGTTTTCAGACATTGAAATAAACCTGCAAAATTAATTTTCCTGTTTTAACTATACAGTTAGTCTATCTGCAGTTTCATGTGCGATCATCTTTTTTTTATTATTATGCTATGTTATGGAAATGCTTGTTTTATTCCATAAATTAATTTTTAAAAAAAGAAAGTCTGTCATCAAAGATCTCAGGAAAAGTATGTATGCATGCATGCTTCTGTGAAGTTTAGATTCAAAGGGCTGCACTTATGGACCTAGAGGGCCTCATGTGGCCTTGAGCCTGCAGGTTCCCCACTCCTGGAAGGGGTACAGTTGACCCTGGAGGAAGGAGGGGCTGTGTTTAAGTCATACCTCTGACACATACTAGCCATATGCCCTTGGGCAAATCACTTGGCTATTTGGTATTAACCCTCTGAGACAGTAAGTGGAAGAACTGGTGCCAACATGCATGGGCAGAGAGAGTTTCTTCAACAGGAAGCCGATTTTATTTTATTAACCAATGAAACCATAGGTTCTATGCAAAAAAATCCCTTATTCCTCAAATAAGAAAGAGAGGAGGTCCTCACTACGAAAAGGCTGAAATGCCCTAGCAGGCCAGGTTACATCCAAATGACTTCCCTGACATTCAAGAACTTGGCTCCATCTCTGTTTCCAAACTTATCACCCAGATCAACATGATCTCTCTCTTCTAGTTGGTAAAATAGTGCCTGACATGGAGAAATAGTCCAGGAGTTTTCAGCATCATCACGATCAGTGATAACAAGGTAATTCTAGCTGTTATCTAAAGCTAAAACCATTTTTGATGTGTAAGAGGACATTTGTAAAAATTAATACAAACCTGATGACCTGGTTGCACTGGGCACACATGGGAGTGCGTTTCCCTGCTGGAATGTGCTCAGCTCTCTGCACATAAGTGTCCTGTTCATTCAGCTGAGGCTGGCCTGGGCTAGTTGGCGCAGTTGCTCCAGATGGAGTAACGTTGTTTGAAATTCTCCCAGTTGATGGAGCTAAGGATGAAAAATTTAAAAAACACCATTAGGAAAATATTGTTCTGTATTCTACATTAACACACACACACACACATACACACACACAAATAAATAAAGATCAGTATAGGAGAGAGAATTTGATGTATTTGTTGGAGGGTCCATCTACCCTCCAGTAATTGCCTGTTGGCCCATTTCATACATGCAAGATATTCCAACATATATTGTTTGTTCTTCGTTTTCGAAGAGAACCAATGACATCACTGGGTGATATTTTGACTCCCACTTAAAATGGATATAAGTGAGGCAAAGCTGTACAAAGTCATCAGCCTTACTCTCTCTGTTCCTGAGTCACTGAAGTCTAGTGGCAGAACAAAAGTCAAGATGACTGACAAAGGCCCAGAAGCAGTGGATGACCTTTGCATCTTTCATGCCTGACCAATCTCTAAGCATGCCTATTTCAGCCACCTTTGTGACCATTAGAACAAATTCTTTTCATCCGCTCATTCCTCCAGGGAAAGTCTTTACGTGCTTGGAGTAGACATCCCCCTAACTCCAACATATGACATACTAAACAAAAGTCCATGTGTGAATACTAACTTTTTGCTATACCTAGAGGGTTCTTAAGAATCTCGGGAGTAGCTCAGGAAAGTTGAGTTGTCAGAAATTCAGTCCAGGAACAAAGTTGCACTTCTTTCTTTCTTTCTCTCTCTCTCTCTCTATCTCGTTCTCTCTTTTTCTTTCTCCCTCCCTCACTCCTTCTCTTTCTTCCTTCCTTCCTTCCTTTCTTTCTTCTAAAACCCCTTGTAAGATTATAGCCAAACATGTTCATGAGTGAGCCCTTGAATCATGTAAATTTTTCAGAATTCAGCTAAGTGTATGAAAGAAATTCTCTGTTTCTTGTAGAATAGACCCAGTAAATTTACAAAGTCAGTAACAGGGTAAAAGCAGACTCTTTTTCCACCCACCTCCCAACATGACTGCTTTTCTTCTTCCTTTGCCCCCATTAACCTATTATAATACTTAAAAACCCCAGAGTATAGATCTAGAAGCAGAGATAAGAGATTACACCTTTGCTTCCACACCAATCACTGACCTAGAACCCTAGGTAATCAAGAAAAAAATGATAAAATATCATGGATTCAAGTTATACGTGAGACATTTCCTGCATAAACACTAATGACTGGAAAATCAACTCTGGTACCTCTTCCTGAAAACTTAAAGCATCCCCTGTCCTTGAGCCTTCCTGAGAACCAAGATAATAGGTTTCAAGATTTTATTTATATAACTTGTTTTGCGCATGAGCAATGATTTACCACAAGTAAGTAAAATAAGTAAACTAACTCGATCAATTCTCCTTTTCAAATTAAAAAAATCTCCCGATCAAGAAGACAGCATTAATTTAGCATCCCAAGGGTAGCACTGCCCCACATTAAATGTTATCCACTAATTAGAAGAGAGCACTACAGTCTGAGGTGTGTGGTTGTGTTTGATGAAAAGAAACTCAAAAGTCCAGAATCACAGATTTTGGAACCAAACAGAACTCAGAGATCATATGGTTCATTGCTCTTTCTTCAAGTAGAAAAGGTTATATTCTAGTTTTACAGATGAGTGCCAATTATGGCATTCACTAGTGAAGTAACTTTGCCCAAGTAACACAGTTAATATTTTGGGGGAAGAGAACTAAAAGTCAAGTCTTTCTTCCTAAATACAATTTCTTTTCACTCTGCATGCAAAGATCTATTTCTAACTTGCATTATAATTATCTGTGTACATATCTAAACGTTCTAATGATTGAAAATTACTTGAGGGCAGAGGCTCTATTACTTTTTACATGGGCATTTAACCCAGTGCCTTGTGTATAACAAATATATGTTGAATTCAATCAAATTCATGAGGGCATTACTGCAATACGGAACAACGACAATGTTTGACTGTGATGATTGGAAATCATAGAAAAGGGATTAAATTATACTCAGTTTATTCTTGCAATAACTTTTTGTTATATTGATAATATGTTGGTCTGGGGAAAAAATTACCTAAATCCTGTGAGCAAACACACCACAAAGTTAGAAAGTTAGAGTTGTTTCCCAGATGCATAAAGTTTGGTTTTGCTTCTTTAAAAAACAGCAACATGAAAAAACCTAGAGCTGCAGAGGGTGTGGTACATTGCTTGTATTTTAGACTTTGACACTTCCATTTAGACATTTCATTGACACTGATTCTTCTAATTCTTCTAATGACCACATGATTCTCCTTGAAACAAAGCTCCACCTTCAAGCAATAACTAGTATTCATAATATGTCAAGAGACATAGGGGACATACTAAAGGGACCCCAACCCCCCCCAAAAAAGGACCTAGAGGATGAAACAGCCATGAGTCATACAGCATTAGATGGTTCCAGTGGTTTGGAATTTGTATCCTTGGAAGAAACAACCCTATCAATGAGACATCAGTTCCACAGAAATGTCAGAGATGTTTGGCAAGCTTACAGGAGGTAAACATCAAAGTTACTGTCTTGAAGGTATATGCAATAAGGATTCTTGAGAATTGGGATTCATTCTTTACCTTTTTATTCCTAGCAACTGATACAGTGTTTGGCACATATTTATTTATTGGTCATTGATTGACTTCTTCTGGCATGGAAAAGAAGGGAAACATAAAGGAGGTGGAAAAGATAAGAAAATAAAAAGGTCAAAGACAAACATTCCTTTTCTGCAACTGGATTGAGGGCACTGGTGAGCAAAATTCACCATTAATCATTTCCCATGCCACTTGTGCCATAAGTCATCTATCCGTGACCACTTTGCCCATCAAATGCTAATCCTATCTTCCATTAGTTTCTGCTGAAGTTTCAGATATGTTCCTCTCTTACTTAGTCCCGATGATTATCCAAGATAATTACCCATGGAGCAATTTGCAAAAGCCTCAAAAGACAGCAGATGGATAATGAACTTTACTCAAAAATAAAGAAGAGGAAGACTGCCTTTGTGAAACTGCAAAACTTCTTTAATGGCCTGTAACTTCTCCCTTTTTAATATCAATATTCTACTGAGATGATGAGGCTATAAAAGTCATGAAATAATAGTCTCTGAAGAAATAAAAATAATTCTCTCTCCAAGGTCAGTGGAGAGGTACATAGTAGGGATGAGTACTAGAAAAGAAGGAAATACAAGGAAGAACTAGAATAAAGGATGCCATCAAAGAAATGTATCGATCAAAAAAGAACATGGGCAAAAAAAAAAAAAAAGATGTGTGAAACGAAAAAGGTGGGAGATAATGTGTTCCACTGGTATCCTAGAAATGTCAGGAGAAAGCAAGGAAGGTTCCTAGCTTGTTGCATGAACCTCCAACTGTAAACTTGTGGGAAAACACGGACACATTAAAACAAACAGGACGAATACTATAAATAGTTGAAAATAAACAACTGGTTCACAATAGATTATTTTGATACAATGGGTTAAAATTCATTTTTAAAGAAATTCATGCAGATAAGTCCCTCCTATACAATACAATCAACTCACTGAGTTGCAACAGTTTACAAACCACTCATGGGAGCTTTATTATAACATAATATTATAACATATTATAATATAACATATATAATATTATATTGTATATTATTATTATAACATATTATAAGTATGTAGTTCAAGTTTTATGATTTCTGTTTTCGAAATGAAGAAACAAGTTTGGAAAGATTCAGTGACTTGCCCAAGGTCACAGAGCCAGTGAGTGGCAGAGTAAGAATTCAAAATAGAGATTTATTCATTTATTTACAAATATTTATAATAAATTAGTATTTTATTTATAAAATTTGTACATAAAATTTATTCATTCATCCATTTAATTAACTGGTCAATTGATTTGTTCATTCATTCATTGATTTATTTATGTCATTCACTCAGTTATTCATTCCTTTACTGTGGGTTTATGAATTCGACTCTGTCAGGAAGTCAAGCAGTTGCTGTTAGATTCCTTCTCCTTGTGTTTTCTTTTCCTCGTCTTGCCATCTCCAGTTCTCGCATACTGTACTTAAGGACTGTTTTCCTCAGCTGAGGTAGGTTAAATTAACCACTTAAATTATTTATTTAAATGGGTATTATGTTCTTCAAAACCTCTGTATCAGATTATTTTAGTTTTCTACAAAAATGGTATTTTCCCAAATAATGTCTCTCTGTACAAATTGTCTTAATCATTTTCAACTAATGGAGTGGTTGTTGAAAACTGTGACCTTCATAATAGTATGAAGCAGGATTTGTCGCTCTGGGGAAGGAGTGGGCAACTTTTGGGTTTGTGGCTCCATAACCTTATGGAGGGCGACTGCAGCTCAGCCTTCATATCTGTTTTATTACTGTTGATTCCGAACTAAAAACAAAACAAAACAAACTCATGGAGAAAATGCCATAGCATGACTGAGAATGGAGAGTAAACTGGAAAAGTCTGTCATCCTTTATCCTTAATGTGAAAATAATGTGTGAACAGAAATGGATGTTTCTGAACAGTGACACTTAGCAAATGAGTCCAAGCTAAAATAGGCAACAAGGTATCAGAGATTTAGAACTATAGAGGACTTAGAAGCTATCAGATCTAACCTTCTAATATTAGAGATGAGGAAACTGAGGCACAGAGGGGTAAAATAATTTGCCCAGATTCACAGCTAATAAATGTCTAGGTCAGGATTTGAACTCAGCTCTTCTTGACTCTGGGCAGGTAGGTGGCACTGCAGTGGATAGAGTGCTAGGCCTGAAGTCAGGAAGACTCATCTTTGTGAATTCAAATCTCGCCTCAGACACTTACTAGTTGTGTGACCCTGAACAAGTCACTTAACCCTGTTTGCCTCAGTTTCCTCATCTGTAAAATAAGCTGGAGAAGGCAATGGCAAACCACTTATGAGGTCACCAGTGAGTCACTATTGAAATGACTGAACAACAACTTCCGCGTTTCAACATCCTATCCATTAGGAAGATGGCAGTTTCTAACTATGGCAAAGTTAACACTCCTCCACGACATGAAAATA